TTTTAATAAATCCCATGAAATTTTCATTATGATATTTTCCTAATTACCAATTATACTGCACGAGATACGAAATTCATTAAAATTTTTCGCGACCAGCGAAAACGACCAACCAGTGCCTATATGCTTTGCGTAAAACACGAATTGTTCCTATTCTTTACTCACGTAATTAGTTGTTTAACTAACGAACTGTATATTTTACAACCGATTGAAATAAATTCGTTGATCCTTCAATAAATTGTTACATATTCTCGTTTCACGAAATACAACAACATACATAGGAAAAACTTAAAAATATATATCAACTCTAAATTGATTATAACAAAATATTACTTACAAGTTTATGCATCAGGTGGATCATAGTTTAACAAGAGACCAGCTAGATCTTTGTTGGGTATCCTTTTTAATTGATTTCTCATTCGCAGTGCCAATTTGTTCGACTGTTGTTTCAAATACATAGCAGAATGATGTAACGCTATCGCGTGGGGAATCGGACACCAATTCTGTTTCACGGTCCCCCTAACGAGTGCTGTTATATAACTCTCAATTAAGGATGTATCTCGTTCTAACGGATAGAAATATTCATTTAACGGGACGACCAATTGTTCCAGGGGTAATCGGATGTATCGAAGTAAGCCCGCGTGTTCTGACCATAACAGTTTTCGGTAATGAACATCGTGTCTTTGCGCGATGGGCACTAATAGAGTCATTGAGAACCCATAATCACCGTACGACGTTGAACAGAAGTGTTCACACATCGCGGTAAATAAATCGGTGAACGAGTTAAGACCCGGCAAGTCTACAGTGAAATCGAGCTTCTTGTAATTATCTTTTAACAAAGTAGTAACAGCTCTGGTGAGCAACGCAGAGATGTCTTTACTTAAATATAAAGTATCACACAGGTATACGAGCACCAATCTACTGAATCTCAAGCTCTGAGACAACTTCTCGACCAAATCTGGTAATATTAATTCCAGGCTCAACACAGCTAGTATAACAGACTTGTCGTCGTCGTTACATGCATCACTGTTTCTACATTTTGTATAAATATGAACGACAGGTAAATAAAGCCAATCTTTGGGCATCGATGCTTGATTCCATTCACCGTTCAATGGTACGTATCGTTCGTACAAGTCAGCTACGTTTCGATTTAGATTCAGCTTAATATCATCGATTTCCGAATCCAAATTCAGGTTTTCTAATTCGTTTGTTACTATTTCCATACTTAACTTTCTGTTCTCCAATGCAGCTCTGAGCATTTTTTTAACATTGGACGGACAGTCGGCGGGTAAAGACGACACGAGTTTTACAGCGATTTTCCATATAATATGAAGCGTTCTATTATCTAAATTGTCCTTAACAATCGAAGTCGCGTTCACTAGAGCAACCAAAAAAGACAACTCGGATCTAGTGTACCACGATCTTTCTAAACTCCACTCTATCGATTCTAATTTACTTAAATACTTATTAAGTTGTGGAAGATTCAGCACTGCCTGTATCTCTTCGACGAAACCATGATTGATAAATACGTTCAAAACCGTTGAAAGAAAGGGCATGCAAGAATTTTGAGACACTATGGGCTGCAACTGACCTTCTTGCATCAACGCACCCAGGTGAGGCAGTGAAGAAGGTTCCCGTTCAGTAGCTAAGCCACAATCGCTTAGCAAATTCGAAATGGAACTATAAAAATTAAAACGTTTAAAGTTATATCAACAAATGATTTTTTTAGCATAAAAATTGTATGACTCTTACCGAAGTTTGGAAAACACCATTGTTCGAGATATATTCAACGTTTTAATCGTACTGCTATTGCTAACCGCTAGTAACGTTTCCGCGATAAGTTTCGACTTGCCCCACTGTAAAAAATCAAAATTGCATCTTATTTATTAAAAATTTACTGACATATTTACAAATTTAACGTACCGTAACATCATCTAAGGACATCAGTTGTGTACTCCACTTGGATAATAAGACTGATATATTTTCTTTCAAAGGTGCTAAGCAACTTGCGACAGCAATTAAAGCCGCTGCGTATTCGCAAGCAAGTTCGGATGCATTCTGAATATCGTGGTTGCTTAAAAGAAGTTGTAATTGCGATACGAGGATTAACTGCGCTCCGGTTAAACTGTCTGTTGCCTCATCATATAGTAGTAATGTTCTCCACAGACGTAAGCTTTCAATGCTGAGATTGAAACTTGCTTTCCTGAAATAACAAGATGTACACATTGTACATAAAGAAGAAAATATGTCCGTTCGAATTAAATGAAAACACAAAATTACCCTGCATCGCAACTGATATATGACATAATGCGTTGCACAATTTTACAACTGTTTAATGTGTTAGCAACAGATTTTCCTCCGTAACAAACTAAAATACGGCAAAGCCTAACTGCAGCTAGTACTGGAACTCCGTAAACGTTATTTATTAAATCGACCATTGCTAGAAATAAAAAAGTATTTTCTATTAAGAATTTATTATTACTATGGTCATGTTTAGATGCAAAACAAAGTGTGAACAAACCTAATGGATCCGTCGACAATGGCATGAAATGTTCGATTATTGTATCCAACAAATTCGGAGTATTTACAATTTTCAAGACAGTAATAGGTGAATGTCTTGTAATTCTAATTAATATTTCTAAGGCACAAGTTACACCGACAGGTGGTGGTCGCATTTCACTTAAAATATACCTACAAATATGCACATAACATCGATTAGTTATTAAATTAAGTTTTAGCCATTTTTTTTGCTGCGAAATAAAATCTAAACAGAAGTACCTTATTCTCAAAAGGATATCAGTTCTCAATAAAGCAGCAATCACGTCTAATTGCGCTAGTTGATGGTCCTCTAAACTGCTTATGTCATCGACATCAGTTTTCGGTGTTGATAAAACGGGTTCTTCGTAATTTTGGAAACCATAAAGTCTGTCCAAACAAACTTCGTCCGCCTCGCTATACAAAAAGGCTCTTAAAGCTTGCAAAGTTGCAGTGACCACAGCGATCGACGTATCGTCCAAGGAAAATCTCAGCAGTAATAAAAGGTTTCTTTGACTTAACGCAGTCAAGGGCGCAGGTTGTAGCACTTTATCGTACCAGCCTTGACGACTTTTTTCTATTATATTTGCCAATGTTGTAAGAGCTGTACAACGTTGTTGTTGCGTCGACGACCGACTGAGTTGTAACAATTCTTGTAACGAATAACCAGGACGTTCGGGTTCTTCTCCGTGATGATGAAGGCCTTTCTCGATTGGTACGGTCTCATCCCTATACGCTAACAATACACCTATCGCAAAGAATATTAGACATTTCACCTGTATACTATTTGTGTAATTAATATTAAATGTTTATATATTTACCATCAAAATTAAAACGAGCATTGTAAGGTTCATCTGGAGCAGGTTCATCTTTTTTTTCTGTGGGTATGTCTTCCATCCATTTTAATTTTTCAGGTTCAAGAAAATCCATATGGACCCAACCCTTCTTTTTAGCTTGCTCCATTAATTCGACAGAAGGATTTGGTACATCTTGTAGTTCTAGTTTATCTACTTCCATTGGTGTAATATTATCATCTTCTACTGAATCTGCATCATGTTTATTCGGAATCTCTTCTATCGATAATTCTTGTTTCTTTATAGATTTCACATTTTCATCCTGAGATTCAACGTCTACTGCCTCGAGTTTCTTTGGACTTTTCTTTACTGTATCCTTTTTATTTCTTCTATCCTTTAAAAATTGTATTAATTCTGGCTTCAGGATCTTCTCAAGTTGACTTTTCTCTTTCAATATATCTTCTTGACTCATTTGATTTAATCGTTCTAAATTCTCTTTATGTATTTCATTTGCCCATGAACCTTCTATAATGACACTGCCATCATCTGCACATTCAGCTCCAGAATTTTGGGGTGCTTCCTCTTTACTTGTACTACAGCTTTCAGATAAAATTTGTTGTAAAAATAAACTTTGTTTATTATCATTTTTCTGAAATGACGATAAACCACTTAAAGTATTTCCTACATTTTATATTCTCGTAAAGAATCCTAATTACCAAGTTTGTAGAAACGAAAACTTCAGGAAAACCTGTATTAGAATGAAACGACAATTCCTTCTTATTAAATTTATAGTTACTCGAATCATATTTCTTCTCTATAATATTTCCGAATATTATCCTTGAAGGTGCTGTTGGTATATTTTGCACCGAATCCAGCAGTTTCTTTTCAACTTTATCTTTAATCGCCGGATTTATAACATCTCCACTGCTTTGGGTAGGACAAATTTTGTCCTGTGCTTTCGATCTTCTCTCAGCAAATTTCGATCTAATTTTTCCGGAACTTGCTTGACCATAATTAGAAGCAGTAAATGAGGAATTTGTAGACCCTCGTAAATTTATTACTTTTGCAGAAGGTTGCTGCTTATTCTGCAGAAATTCTTCTTGCATACGAAACAATTCTTCTTCATTGTCAGTTGACTTAGGCCGTTTTAAAGAAGGTGGGCCTTCCATTGCATGAAAAACTTACTTTCAACTCGGAAAATGTGTTTTTCATGTGAAAAATAATAATTTCAAGCACATGGTACACTGTGCACCCAACTTGTAATTGACGCCGTACTACACTGGCGATGGTGAAGGTGGATAAAGGGGAATGCGGGGAATGTATCGTACGTGTTTGCAACGAACGTCAAGTCACATCGCAAGTGGCTCTCAGATTCAAAGAGGTTAAGAGAGCTGCTTGATAGAAATGGCAGCAATAAAGGGCCTTGGTAGAAATATTCCTTATTTGAGGCAACAATTCGCTGCCCTCTTAGGAAACACAAGCACGAGTGTAAAATTCATGTGCATAGTAGTCCTGTTCTCCTATTGTCTTTCATTTCTCGCGGAAGCGATACGTGTTTTGAGTGTGACACCAGGTTACTTGCTACCTCCTGCCTTCTGGATCTGGACGGCGTTCACTTTCTGCTTTCTCGAAATACATTTTTGGGAAGTATGCGTAGACATCGTCACGGTCGGACTCTGTGGCAAATTGATCGAGCCCCTATGGGGTGCGATCGAAATGATGACTTTCTTTGCAATCGTTAATTTCGGTGTCGCTGTGTTGTCAGCTTTATTTTATTTATTTCTCTATATGTGCACCAATGACACCGACCTGTTGTTCGACATACATATTCACGGATTAACGGGATATATCGCAGGTATACTGCCTATGGAATATACATATCATTGTCAATTATCTGTTGTCATACTAAAGTCTCATGTCATTACATCACTTATTTGTAGGTGTTGCGGTGGCCGTAAAACAAATTATGCCAGATCATATTCTAGTTAAGACACCAATTGGGAAAATTACAAATAGAAATATACCATTAATGGTATGGATAATGGGAGTGATACTATGGCTTTGTGGATTGTTGGAAGGTACTCATCCAACTATGTTCCTCAGTGGGTTGTTGGTATCGTGGATATACCTTAGATTTTATCAGAAACATAATAATGGAACGCGTGGTGATATGGCTGATAATTTCACATTTGCAAGGTAAATTACAAATTTCACTGCTAGATAAGATAAAAAGATGTCCTGTGATATACAACATAAATAAATTGTATTACAGTTTCTTTCCAAATGTTTTACAACCACCGATAGCAGTCGTGAGTAACACTGTACATGGTTTCTTTGTACGTGTGGGAATTTGTAAAAAGGTAGTAAGGAGATTTGACATGTCTAATGCTCCTCCTGGTCTTGTTATAAATCTTCCTGGCATCGATCCACATGACAGTGAAAGAAGAAGGTTTGTTATTCTTCGTAAACCTTCAATTTTTGTGTCCATGTATTCATACTCTATAACTAATGGCGATTTACAGGCAAATAGCATTGAAAGCTTTAAGTGAAAGGCTGAGTAAGGATCATGCGAAACCGTGGCAACAGGAAAGAGCGAAAAAACATTCTCCAGTACCTCCTGCAGTTTCTATTCCAATTCCCGATAGTACTACACCCAAGCCCCTTGCATCTCCGCTCATTCCACAAGTTAGTGTCAACATACATAATCATACATCTACTACCAATACGTGATCAAATCAGACAGACTGATTGCTTGAACATGTATAAATATGTTAAGGATCCTCTAAAGCCAAGTTTGAAAAAAATCCGAACATTTCCTGCAATCTTCGATTATTCTTCTGAAAACGTTACAGAAGCCTTTAGTTATTAATGTCTCTTGATAACTCCAAAGAACAAAATATAATACTCAAGCTGTGCCTTGACGTTCATAGCTATTAATCAGTTCGTGCATCCATCCTCGAGTCAGTTTTTAAACACATAAATATAGAGTTAATTTGTTCTTTGGTATTATCAGATCTATATTTTATTGACATAACTTATTTGCGTCAATTATGATGCCACATTATTGACGATGCGATGTATTTATAATCTTTAGAAGGTCCTTAAACAGAAAAAGAAACATAGAGAATCCAATCTTTCTAGTTTGTGATGCTATTTTCCAAGAAAAATCATGTTCTTTGTTAAGAACAATTGAATTCTATTTATGTAATTGCGTGCGTCCGTGGATGATGAAAAATTAAAATTTTTTTTAATAAAAAACGTTGGAGACACTAAAATATTACGTAAATGCAGCGTTGTTCCGTCTTTAATACTGTTCAGTGATAATTGGAAGATGAAAATATGTTATTAATAACGATGAATGAAAATAGACTGGCTTCCAGTGCAATACTGTAAAATAATTTTACTAGAAACAGATTTAAATTTGGAAAGTGTTATTACTTCGCTAACACGTATTAGAAAATATTTTATATCATCAAGATTGCAATTAAACATCCTGTACAGTGTAAAATGCTGATACATAAAACACATGTATATGCTAAATTCGAATGACAACTGAAATACATGTACTTTTAGTTGATTACAAATAATTTAGTCCGGAAAGTATATTTTACTTTTTATGTCATAAAAGTTTTTATCTAAAGAACGTCCGTTATTTATAATTTTTTTAATTTTTA